AACCCACTACTCATGTACACAAGTGCTTGTCCCGTGTTAAGAGCCATTGGATCCAGAATCACAGAATATCAGGTTGAAAGAGACCTCAAGGATCATCTGGTCCAACCTTTCTCAGCAAAAGCATGGTCTAGACAAGATGGCCCAGCATTTTGTCCAGCCAACTCTTAAAAGCATCCCTTATTGAGGAATCCACCATTTCCTTGGGGAGTGCTTTCAATGGCTGATTGCTTTCATTGTGAAAAATCTTCCTCTCCTCCAGGAACCTTGTGAAGGTCAAGTTCAATCAAATCAGTATTAGCTGTGCCCACAGTATATAGTGTTAAAGTTGTTTTCACACCTTTAACCAAACTTTTATCCTATGAACTAAAATTTGTGAATTTCTGCCTTGGTTTTGTAACAAATGTTGAGGGACAAGGAGGGATGGTGAAAAGGTTTGAGCAGATGATTAGTGCACGCAGGAAAAAGACAAGGAAGAACATATGAAAGACGACCCAGGAATAATGTGAAGATAACTCAAGGTTGGGGAGTCGTCTGGGTAGACACTGCAGGGTAGACACCCTTGAGGACATGCAGGGGACCAATCTGTGCCCAGATGGTGCCAGTTCGTGCTAGCTTTCTATGCAATTGAGATGCACTCAAAGAGATCACTAACAGTGCTAGTACGTATAAACATAACACTCTGAGTTTCTGTAGATGGATTTCAAAACATTCAGCTCACTCAATCAGGAGTTTCTGAATGACATCCATAACCATGTGGGAATTAATGATCTCAGTTATAATTAAAAATCCATTTGTCACCATTTTTCAACTACTTCATATATGGAACCTAATACTTCCTTTGTGAATAACATTTATTTGACAGCCTGACTTTAAATATTTTCATTCAATTCTTGCCTGACCACATTTGCAAAGCACTTCCCTTCAGGTTTAAGGAAATGATATGAAAGCCATGAACCTATGAAAAACAGAGATAGACCTCTATTCCTGCACAAAATAAAATATTCTGTCTCCCTCTACTGGCTCTGCATTAAATCAAACGAGGAGGAGGAAAAGAAAAACTAGAAAGCTAATGCTTATTGCTATCTTAGAGAAATTTATACAGGAAGCTATGCTGAAATAGCAGGAGAATAATACTTTAATCATAGTTTCTAAACAAGTATTAGAACAGACAATACTAAGAGTCTTTCTGAACATGGCATGAAAACCATTTAAAGTTATTATAGGTACATAGCACCATAGCTATACAGCACCAAATTAATGATATATTTGGGAAATTTTCTACTAAAATTATTTCTTCATTAAAAATACAAGAGAATATTAATGAACTTTCTGTTACTATAGCTTCACTTTATTTTATATTGAATCAGATTTAAGCATTCCTGGTTGCCTCCAGTCAGAATGAGTTACAATTGAGCTGGATGATTTTAACTCTAAATAATTTACAGATAATACATGTTTTTAGTTTGGGTTGTTGGGGGCTTTTTGGTTGCTTGTTTTAATTAAAATGACAGGCAGGGAAATTTTGTGATTCAAGGAACTTCTGGTTTGCAATTTGATCAGTCAAAACATATTTAGTAACATAGGCAAGCTGTCACTGTACAAAATACAGGGAGATAAAGTACAGAAATGCCTTTTGCATATTCTTTAGATGACAACTGCAAAACCTTAATTTATTTTTTTACCGAAATGATATAATTAGGTGCATAAAGCACCCTGCTTAGTTTTTAAGGTGAACTTGAAATAGTTCACAATGCTCCAGAATAAACTTATATCTTCTTACCCTCAATAAATCAAAATCACAAGAGTAAGAGAAACATGTTATGTTTGCCATGAGGCCATCACTGTGATTTCTCTCTTACTGATTTTCTTCATTGGAATATTTTATTTAAATTTGGGTAAAAAATCATTCTTGAAATGAAACTGGTCAGTCATATATCTTACAAACTAGAAGTACAGCACAGTGTACTGATTTTATCACATATCCAACAGAACAATTAATCCTCCCTCAACAGAGCCATAGCCGTTCATGCATCTGACTAAAATGCATTTCACTATGCAGTGAATTTTATTTTCTGTGGTAATACCTATTTGCATGCAAAACAGCATCACCTACCAGGGACAAGGATCAACAGCGTAATGAGAAACACAGTAAGTTATGAAGTTGTCCCTGGCAACTGCTTGTTCCTCCACATTTACTCTATCCACTTAGGGGTTCAAATGCTGCAGGCCCTCGCTGGGTATTGGTGCTTCTGAAAGATAAGCAAATCAGATATGGGCTCCCAAAGCTGCCGGGAGGGAGACAGGGGCAGGCCTCTCCTCTGCACTCAGCAGAGACCAAAAGCCAGCAGAGGTCAAAGACTGAGCAGTGGATGCCTCCCTTTGTGGGCTGTAAAATGCACAGACCCTGAGCTTTCAGATACTGAACATAGTTTAAAACATACAGTTTTTTGAACAGTACCTGGTTATTTTCTCTCTGTAAAAGCAGACTAAAGCACGATAGACATTTCAGCAGAAAATAACCAATCAAATTTATCAGCCCTGTAATTTCCAAACTAACTGAAGTTACCCTTAAGAGTTAATTTGTCATGCAGTATTCAAAAAGGGTCTGACATAACTTCATGGAAAAGTATTTGTTTGCAATTGGTCTGTACAGATTGCTTAAAGGTAGCATTCAAACATAAGAATGTGAACTTAAGGTTAATTAAAAACTAGAGTTCTAGCTCTACATAAAGATTTCACTATGTGGGGAAAAAAATTCCCAGTGTGACAATAGTATAAACATACCATGAAACTCTATATAAATCAGGCGAAGAATCACTTATATTTTGAAACATCAGAATTAACGATAATGCAACTCCAAGAAATTTGTCACTTCTACAGAATGTCATAATGTTAATGCTCAACATGAAAGCACATTATAAAGTTTTATAGCACATAACATTGTGCTGCAAGTATTTACCTTCCTCTGAAAAACGTAGAACAATGAAAACTTCAGGAAATCAGTAATGCTTCGAATTTTTTAAAATGAGAGAGTAGTCTATAGAATATTTAGTTTTAGTGAACAGAAAAACTCTTACATTTTGAGGCAGAGGGGAAGGTATGCAATTTTTAATGTTACATCATATTAGATGTTATTTTTTTTTTTTTATGGTTAAGAATGAGAAAATAGATCTTTCCACTGTTAGTGTAAGTTTTGCGGAAACTTTGGAACTTAACTACATATTCAAGCTACTCTAAGCAATCACTTCTCCCATACAGCCACTTCCACTACCCCCTGAAGAAACTGGGGACTGCTACAGAAAAGAAATTAGTTACCTGATCACCTCTCCAATTTGACTCATTATATTCCAAAGCAGGGATTCCTACTGCTACACAGGAAATAACAGAAAGACAAGAATAAACAGTTGGAGGGAAGAAGATCAGTTGTGCCGGCCTTTGGACAGGAGGTATCACACATTGCCTCAAAGGCAGGATTACCAGGAAATTTCAAGTTATACATCCTACAGCAAAAGCTTATTATACAGAGAATGCAGGAATGTTACACATCTACACTGAGCAATAAAAACATGGTTTTGATCTATTCCAAAGCAACTGCAGTTATCAGAAGTCGTTCAACATATCCCAGTGGCCTTGGATTAGACATTGAAGCAAGAAGAAACTAAGTTTTTGGTGCTGTGGAATACATGCTTCCAGTTTTTCAGAAATATAAGCTGAAAATCACCACTAGGTTAATATGATATATTAATAATTAAAATATCTCAAAGAGATGTAATACACAAATCTACACAGTCTTAAAAAACCTGCATGCATAAGCACGTTACTTCAGCTATCTCAGTCATTACCAGCACACCATAAACGTAATAACCCATAACTTGCAAAATCCCATTCATATTTAGGATGAAATTCGCATCCCTTTCAGTCAACATCTTTTTACCTAACAAATGAGACTCAGACCTCCAGAATTTACAGTCAAATGCTCTAAATACTTAAAACATGTACAAAATTCAAGAAGTCTCATTTAAAAGGAGACTACAGTATATGCTTATGTGCTAATGGCACTGAGAACTCGGTTATCAAACTGATGTTAATAAAAAAAAGTTTTCGAGAAGAAGAAATATGCCTATGTAGCACATGATAGCCACGAATTTACATGCCAGGTTTAAGTAAAACAAAAGAACACTTTTAAACGCTTAAAAGTGAAGTTTCAAGTTAAGAGACAAACCCTTAACTAAACTACATTAGCACATGCCACTACA